ACAAAGAACAGAAATTTCAGTCCATTGCAGTTTAATGTTTTTAGGCTTTATGTTTGTTTGCAATTATTAATAAGTGATTGCTCTACAGTGTTATATTAGCTACCGCTAATATAACACTTTATTTAGGTCATAGGTTAGCTCATTTAAACACTTGCTGTACTGATGATTAGTCAGAGTTGGTGTGTAACTCACCTTTTTTATTTTTTAACTGAACCGAAACACACTGGATTCCACAGTACATTTACATTTACAGTACTGAACTACTTCCTCTCTCCTCTAATTAAACAGTAAAACAGTTTTCTGCCTTTTTTAATCATGTCCAGAAACTGCTGTGTTTGGGGCTGAAAAGAGAACTACTACAATCTGAACAAAAATAAGGCTCAAATCACTTTAATCTGTATTTAGGCCATATTCTGCCATATTTAGGCCCACCTTAATGGGTCCAATGCAGAACTGAATCCAATACCAGTTTAAAGCCTGTTCCAAAAATGGATGGAATCATTGATGTTGGGCCATTTGTGGGCCTCTCTGTTGAGCTGCTTTCTGTAAGACTGGTTTAATGTGTTCCTAATTTCAGATCAGAAGAGAGTGAAATTAGATGATTTCTTCTAGACTGATGTTATTCTAATTCAGTTAATTTTACCAACAATGCAAAGTATCATTACAAATTAGATTATTCTAATTTGTTATCTAATATTGTTATCACATCTGCTCTAATGGGAAGGAGTTTAATATTTCACTATTACGCATGGCTTCAAACAATTGCTCCTCAAAATTTGCTCTCTGACTGACTGTGCTACCGATCTGACCTACCTTGCAGAAATCGTTAGAACAGCGGCTCATGGAAGTTGAGTAGCACTGTTTTCTGCATAAATAAACACACCAAGAAATTCAGATACACAATAAGTTTGCATGGAGAGCGGGGCTGTCACAAAGAGGTGGTTGGGTTTCAGCAGCTGATCAGAGACAGGATTGTTTTCTAAATGTTGACAGATTTCACCTGGTTTCTTATTTTTCCATGACTTTTTGCAGCTGCTTTTCTTCATGGGTCCAAAACTACAAATGTGGTCGGATTTGTTTATTTGTTTGTATATCAGGTGTGAATTTTATGGTAGTAGTCTTATTACTAATGTATTTATAAAAATGTGGCCATGTTTAATGCTTTATCTGCTAAGCACATTTTCCTAGGATTATGTACTGCATGTGTACATACTCAGCTTGCATGAAATAAATGTAATAACCTTAAGCCGATAATGATATTTATAACATTAATGTCTTCTACTTAAACAATGGGTAAAGGTAGCTGAAAGGTAAAACTGAAAAGCCATCATTTCTAAGAGGCCTATTGATTAATCAAAGTATGGTTGAAAAGTTTTTTGTTTGTTTTTTTCCATCAGGTTGGCCAAACCTCACTCTCAGCAACTTCATTTAGGCTAAACTTAGAAAGGACACATTTGTTAAAAATGTTGTATTTCAGCATGTTTCTTGGACTAAACAAAAGCAAGGACTGGTTGTCCTGAAATAGCCATATAAAAGATGTGCATAAACACACAGAGTTAGAGGGCAATGCTTTAACAGGAAGCTGAAAGCATGTTTACCCTTGAACATTTTCCACATGTATTTCAAGTAGCCTGCTACTGAGTTACAAATTAGATTATTCTAATTTGTTATCAGATTATTACTATGAGTTACTCTTATTTTTGTCTCTTTTTAAGACAATAAGAGTTTTACTCTGGAGCAAAAACATACCTCCACACATCCTCCCTGTCGTCTCTTTCAGTGTTATGTCATACCAGACATTGCCCAGGAACATGCCTAGCCACAGGACACAGATCGTCCCCTGCTTCCCAGAGGGTTACCGCACACTGCCCCGCAACAGCATGATGAGGCCTGATAGCATCTGTAGCGTAGCAGGTTCTGTTTACGATCGGGCCCTCCGGCCAGTCTCCTCCACTATCAGCACAGCGGAAAAAAGGCGATCAATGAGAGACGATACCATGTGGCAGCTGTATGAGTGGCAGCAGAGGCAGGCCTTCTCCAGGCAGAGCTTGGCACAACCAGCAGGTATACCTCATGCCCTAGCAAATGTTCATACCGCTCCAATTATTTTTGCTTTTTGTTACTTTTCAAGCACAAACTCTGTTTTATTTATTGAGATTTCATGTGCATTATTGTGAAACTGAAAGGAATAATGGTTTTCAAATTTTTTTACAAGCTGAATTTAAAAGGTTAGATGTGCATTCACACCGGCCTGTTTAGTCCACTTTAATCGAACTGTACCAGAAGGTTCAGTTCGTTTGAGGAGGTGTGAATACACAATCACTCTCTAATAAAACTGAATGAAAAAGCGACTTCTGGTCCATCTAAAAACCTCGGTCTCAGCTGGGTTGAAGTGAATTCTTCCGGTTTGAATGCATGTGAACACCAAGCAGACCGGAGACCGCTCCAAAAGTAGGAAGTGGACCAAAGCATTCTGGGTAAATGCTGCCAAAATAAATGAATGAGTCTAGAACTACAGGGAGAAATGGCTCATGGTCTTTTAGCAGCGATAAAAAGAAATCCATTGATGTATATTACTCTCTCCTGTGTGGGTTACCGGAGGTGTTCTGCCAGTTGCCATGGCAACGAGTCTGCCTGTAAAGTAAAGCTGACACAGAGCTAGGAAAAGCATAATAAAAGTGATTTAAAGTTGATATGGACATCAGTGTTATTTTCCCTTGCCACTGCACCCGCTGTAATTTTTAAAACTTCAAAAAAGAAAATCCCCAGCAGAAAACAAACAACAGAACAGTAGAAAAACTACCATATTGAGCATTTAGTTGTTAATTACCTGGCTCCGGTTGGATAACAACTTTAAAATCGTTAGATATGCTCCACCATTAGCCTCTATGTTTACTTCTGCAAACACTGAGCACTTCTTTTTTTTATGGCAGTTGCCTAAACAC